GGGCGCCTTGGTGGGCGTGCGCACCGTGGGCCGTGGGGTGCTCTCCTTCTTCCGGATGAACTCTGCGCATTGGAAGAGTGTGTGAGCAGAGGAACCTCCACCCTCCCCAACTCCCCCACCGCCCTCCAGCCTGTGCAGGTCAGGAGACTCCTTGTGCTGCCTTGGCGTCGACCTGGAGCTGGACTGCAGGGCACTCTTTCAATCATTCAGCAAACAGTTGCTGACAGTTGTTTGTGCCAATCAGGTGCTGGTTTAGGAGTTGCTGCCCTGCCCTCTCAGGGAGCTCGCCTCTCCCCACTATCCTCTCCCAGCAACTCCTGAGGCAGGGAATGAGAGGAGGGTCTCCGAGGGGTTTCAGAGGCTAAGAAGAGGGTTTCTGATTTACGGCTTTGTTGTTGTTTTGTGTGGGGGGGGGTGTCTACTCGAACTCATGGCGACCCCATGAACAGCTGATCTGAACCTGCCCCCTCCTGCACCACCCTCAGCCCCTGCCACGTTCACACCCACTGCTGGAGTCAGTGTGTCCATCGCCTCACTTAGAGCTTTCAGGGTGAGGAAACAGGCTCCAGATCACTATGCAAGCCAGACCTCCAAGGCTTGGGGGCAGAGCCATTAGGAAGCCCTGTGGTCAGTGTCCCCACAAAGCCACTGCGCCCACGTCCCTGGCACTGGGATGAAGGGAGGTCTCCAGTGCCCGGTGCCCAGGGAAGATGAGCAGTTTCCTGTTTCTCCTGCAGGACGAGGCCCTCAGGTTTGAGCAGCTCAACCACCGGGATAAACACCAGCTCAGCATGGCTTCACCCCACACAGACAGGCACTGGGCCAGGCCAGGGCTGAGGGTGCCCGAACCCCCAGAGCTGCTGGGCTTCTGTGAGTTGGGATATCCCAAACTCCCTCATGCTCCTCCCCACTTCAGACTTAAAGTGACTCTGACGGGGCCTGACGCCAGGTAGAGTGTACACTGAGGTGGGAGCACCGGGACCCGACCAAGATGTATTCTCTCTGGCCTGGGCGCCCACTCCCACTCCCCCAGCTGGGAAGGACCTGGGGTGCCCAGCGGGTCCCTCGCCATCCTTCCCACACTGTCCACATGGTGAACCCTGCCTTGTCACTCCTGTACCAACCCTGAGCCACTGCTCGCCGGGTCCTGCCCACAGTCCTCATTGCCCTGCATCACCACAGCGCCCACAGACACCTCTGCCATGGAGCGCTGGACACTAAATGACATCTCTGTCTGCACTGGCTAGGACAAGGCCCGCTGTCACTTCTCCCTGTTGCCCCAGCATCCAGCACAGAGCTTGCAATTAACAAAAGTGCCAGAAGCTACTGAATGAGTAAATGGAAAACTCACCAAGCCACAAAGCTTACTGAAGCCAGAACTGACTTCCAAAAACACTGAGCTCATCCCCAACCCTGCCTTCTTTCCCCTGGGGTGCCCGTCCTCAAAGACCAGCAACCTCACCTGCCCAGGTGCCTGGCCTCCTGCCTCATTCCCCCACCACACAAAGCCCACCAACTAGGGCTGTGTGGAGGTGCACTCGACCCACAGCTATTTCTTTCAGCCTGCACGGTAGTTTAAGAAACGTTGCACTAGCTGCAAACATGTTAAGACTGGAAGGTTGTACACATAACGTCTTTTGGAGGGAGACAACTGGGACCTCGTGTACATGGCTGGTGAGTACTTTCTGTATACAATACTCATCTTGATGGTGAATGCATGACAGATGAGGAGGATGGATGGATGGATGGATGGATGGATGCTGTTATGTGCCACTGAATTGACTACACCTCATAGTGACCCTATGCACAATGGCTCTTAACCTTGTCCTGTCCTGAGCCTCCTCACCATCTCCGACACACCTGACTCCACTGCCACAGTCACTGTGTCAATCCACCTCATCCAGGGTCTTCCTCCCCTGTGCTGTCCCTCTCCAAGGACTCTTCCCTTCTGGTGACATGCCAAAGTACGTGAGACAGACCTTCAAAACCCTTGCCTCCAAGGAACAACCTGGTTTCACCCTCCCCAGGACAAACCTATTTGTTCTCTTGATGGTCCATGGCATGTTCAATGCTCTTCTCCAGCACCACAACTCAAAGATGGAGGATAGAGAGATAAACAGACAAATACATGATGGGTGGATGGATAGATGAATGGATCACTGATGGACAGATGAAGGGGTAGAAGAATAGATAAATCGATGAATGATGGGATGGATATGTGGATGGAAGGATCACAGATGGGTGGGTGGCTGGACGGATGGATAGACATATGGACAGATGGAAGAATGATGAAAGGATGGGTACATCAATGGATAGATCGGTGGATGAGTGGATGGCATACAGATAGGTGAATAGATAACAGAGGAATGGATGGGTGGTAGGTAGATGGAAATACGGAGGATGGATGAATGGATGGATGACAGACGGACAGAAGATGGGTGAACGGATGACAGATGGATAGATGGATAGATGGATTTGTACATGGATGGGCAGAGAGATGGATGGATGCACGAGAGATGAACGCATGACAGATGGATGACCAGGTGAATGACAGACAGATGTACAGACGGATGGATGGACAGATGAATGCGTAAAATGATGGGTGGGTGGATGGATGGATGGTGTTCCTGTCTGGCAGCCAGGAGACCTGAGCACTGGGGTTTGCACCCACCTAGTGACAGCCAGAGTGGGTCCACTGGAGTTGCACATTCTCTCTGGTCACCCCAGACTCCCTTACAGGCATTTGTGGAATTTGCAAACTTGTCAAAACAGAAACATCTGTGGAAAGCCCAGCACCAGTGCCTCTTCTTCTAGGGACCCTTGTACTGGAAATTAGCAGTCTCCTCTGTCACACACATATACACTCAGTCCTCTGACCCTCCCAAGAACTCTGACCATAATGGACATGGGAAGCACAGGGAAGAAGTGGGCTGAGTGCTGTTACATTGTAAGGACTGCAATCAGCACCCGAAACAAAGTGTCCGTGAAGAGTTAACTCAAAATTAAAACCAATGTGCTCTGTAAACTGGAACGCAGATCTGTTCTGCAGACCTTCACCCCAGACACAATAAAAAAAAGAACATCAGTGAGACTGTGTCACCCTGGCACCAGCCCTTCCCCTAACCCTGGCTGTGACACTTCTGAGTGTCCTGCCTTGCTGAGTACTGCACACCCCACAGGGATAGACAGGGTGAAGTCCCCCAACTTTGAGTATGTGGGGTGTACTGGGGATAGACCAGGCACAGGAAGGAGGGTGGCCAGGAGGAGCCCCTTCATGTTGGAGGGGTGGGTGTGGGCTGCAGGAGCCCCTCCCCCAGCATCCCGGGCAGTGGGCACTTACTCTCTTTGGGCACAAACTGGATGAGACGGCTCTTCACCTTGACCTGGGCTGGCTGGATTTGACACTTGCCTGGTGGCGCCCTCCTGTGGACACACAGTTGTGAGGTCTCACCCTGCAGCCCATCTAAGCTTCTGTCTAGACTGTCCCCTCTCTGCACAGAGGCAGGAGGAGAAGGGCCAGTGTGTGGTCAGGTGACACATGACAATGGTGGCCAATTACAGCAACACCACTACCAGCTTCATGTCCCAGGAGCAGCGCCCCCGAAGACTGCACTGAGGGCTGGCACAGCCTTGGCCCTGGGGAGAGGGGCTGCCAGACAGGCCTGTAACCACTGCCAGGTTCCTTGCCTCCCTGGCCCCCACTCCCACGGTCTTGAGGAAGGGTCTCTCTCTCTCTCCTAGTGGTTCCTAAATTTCTTTCTGATGATGTAATCCAAGCAGCCTGAAGCCTAGAAAAAGCTGGGAGTTGTAAACTAAAGAGCAAAGCAGGGAGGAGAGGTCCTCCGGCCAAGGGATTGGTGTAAAGGTATGGGCTGGGTGAGCGAGAGAAAAGATTGTGAGAAGGTTGCCGGGGCAACGGACTGGGGCCCCCCTGGCATCTTTGAGGGACACACGCAATGAATGGAATTCCATTTTAATTAGCCCTTGGCTGTCACTCTGAGATTCTTTGAATGGAACCCATTCGAGGTCCAACTCCACGTGGGCCCAAGGCTCCAAGAAAGCTCCGTCAGCATCAAGAAAAACTGGGGAAATCAAGCCGGCTGCCCTTGGTTCCAACTCCTGGTGGCCTCGTGTGCTCCACGGCCTGTCCCAGGCTGGGAACTTTTGGGAACACACAGCCAGACCCTTCCCCCTAGAAGGATGGGTGGGACGGGGTTCAAACCACCAACTTTTCTGTCTGTACCAGCAGGGACTCCTCATCAGCACCCCAAGAGGGAAGCCTGGGCCCTGGGACAGCCCTGTGATGAGGGGTGGGCTCCAGAGGGCAGGCTGAAGGGAGCCCATGCGCACCCAGCTTCTGTCTAGGGAACACTTCTCAGACTCAGAGGGGGAGGGGAGGGCTTCCCCACGATGTGGCACGAAGGTCCTCACACTCGGACAGAGTATGCAGAAGGACAGGTGCCCTTGCTGGCGTTACTGTCGAGGCCGTGGAGCAGCTGCTGAGGCAGACGGGCCCACGCACAGCAGGACAAGGCCACCGGGTCCTGCACGGCCTCGCTCTGTCACTGTGTCTGAGCCCGTGCCGCACCCACCACATCAACTCAGCTCCCCAAGGGTCATCTTCTGCTGACCCTCCACTTTCCCAAGCCTGACATCCCTCTCCAGGAACCTGCCTCCTAAAAACATGCCCAAAGCATGAGAGACAAAGTCCAACCACACATGGTTCTAAGGAACCTTCTGGCTATACTCCTACCAAAACCGACAGGTTCAGCGCTCCCCCAGGCCATGTCACCGCCAGCCCTTCACCCGCTCCACGGTTCAAAGGCATCAGTTCTTTCCTCTTCCTTGTTCACCACACAGCTTTCACACCCCTCAAAGGGGACTGGATACCCTGTGGCTTGGCTTAGGAGCCTCTGAGTCCTCAAAGGGAAATCTCCGCTTTTGAGCACTTTCAAAGGTCTTTTCCAGTCCATTTGTTCAATGCAACAAATCATTTGGTTTCTTAACTGCTGCCTTCAGGGGCTTTACTGTGGACCCAGTGAAATCCTTGAGGCCTCCACCCTCTTCTCTAGTCCTTGATGCAACTTAGAGGCGATATGACGGGCAGTCAGGACCACCCCCTCTGTCCCACTCATCCACTCCTGCTTCCATCTTTTTATTCTCTAAGGGGACTGGTTCGGATTGAATTGGTTCCCTAAACCATGTGCTGAAATCTTAAGCCCAGTTCCTGGAAATAAGCGCATCTGAGAATGAGGTCATCGTCTATTGTGTTAACAGGTCATGCTTAACCTAATCATTTCTGAGTTCTACAAGACAACAAGACAGAGACACAGGGGGAGACAGATAAGCAGCATCAAGGCTCGCCACAGAGGCCAGGAGCAAGGAGAGAGAGGCTCGCGTCCCGAATCAGCACGGCCTACACCCGGATTTCAACTTCTAGCTTCCAGAACGGGAGGTAGTAAACGTCTGTTCTTGAAAGCCACCCACCTGTGGTACTTGTGATCCGACAGTACCACGTGGCTAAACCAGGACCTCTACACAATCTGCTGTAGGTACAAAGAGGCACACTCCAAAAGAGAAAGACACGAGGCGGTCGGAAGAGTCCAGGAAGGAGTCCAGCTGGCCTGGGGCTGGTCCGGCACGAAGGGCCAAGCAGAAGGGGCCTCGGTGCTGGCAGGACAAGGGGCAGCCGCCAGCCAGCACGGGCCTCAATGAGCTGGCGTGGCGGCCCACCAGGCGGTGTCTGGAATGGATTACGGGCTCCATCTACATGTGATTTCCTCAGTGGGACGGCTTTGAAAAAAACTGGAAAACACCTAAATGTCCAGTTAGGCGCAGTGACTCAGCAGAAAATGTTGTGGCTGTTAAAAATGGTCCCGTTGAGGGTTGTACTGCAATGTGGAAATGTTTACACTACATGAGGAGAAAGGAGCCTAGACGTTTGCTCTAATCACAACCCCATGTCAATCCTGGTGGCGTGCAGGCGGGTCTTCAGGAAATGAGGAACCAACGGAAGAAGTGCTTGTGTTTCTCTTGGGGAAAAATGCTCCATAATAATGAATATATTTGTACTTTGAAAACTAAAAGTGTTGTAAGCAAATTGTCTCAGATCAGAGGGGACTGAGGAGACATGACTAAACGCAGTCTGGCATCCCGGATGGGGTCCCGGAATAGAAAACAGTGTTAGAAGAAAAGCTGTGAAATCCTTAAAATAGAAGTGACCAAGAAAAGCAGACGCTGAGGTCAAGCTGACGCTGACGCAAGGCGCCCCCTCGTGTGCCAGGGCAGAACTGCTCCACGGAGAGTTCAGCAGCTGAATCGTCAGGCCTCGAAGTTGCCAGGCCTTTCTTCCTAGCTTCCTCTGGATGGACACAAACCACCAAACTTTCTCTTTATAGTTTCCCTCTTCAGTATTGCACCAACAGGGGCTCATTTTCAGTCACTCGCTATGCATCTGAGGGCTGGACAGTGAATAAGAATGAGAGAAGAAGAATTGATGCCTTTGAGCTGTGGTGTTGGAGAAGAGCCTTGAACATCCCATGGTCGGCCCAGAGAACGAACAGCTTATGTCCTGAAGAGGGTGCATCCAGCATGCTCCTTGGAGGTAAAGATGTTGAAGCTTCGTCTCAGTTTGGGCATGTTGCTAGAAGCACGTATTCCTTGGAGAGGAACATGATGCTTAAAAAAGTGGAGGGATGGTGAAGAAGAGGAAGTGGAGGGATGGTGAAGGAGAGGAGGACCTTCAACCAGGAGGGTAACCATGGTGACTGTGGCAATGGGCTCCAGTGTGTCAGAAACTGTGAGGATGGCACAGGACATTCCAGGGTTCTGATCTCTTCTGGGCTTACCGGGAGTCATACTGGACTTGATGTCATCTAACGAAAACAACTGTTAATAATAACTTAATACTTCCTTAATTTAGAGCTGTTCATAATCCCTTCATTAATCATGAAAAACTTCATTAAATATTCATGCTCATTGCTGTCAAGTGGAAGCCGACCCAGGCCCCCTCCCCTGGGTTTCCAAAGCTGTGAGTTGTGCAGGAGGAAGTTGTCCATCTTTCTCTCTCAAACTGTCAGAGAGACATGGTCTTTGGGTCAGCCGCACAATTCCTTGTGGACGACGCCACCAGAGCCCCTAATAATAATGTACTCGAATAGGGTCACTTCTTGATGCATGCGGACTGTTACCAAGAAACACCAAGTGACAGGAAAAGGACATCATGTTTCCTAAAGTCGAATCAGATCTATTACACATGAGGAAGGAACACTGGAGAAGTTCAATATCAGCAGTGAAAACTAGGCCTGGTGCTGACTGCAGAACAGACCATCAACTACTCATATGCAAATTCAAACTGAAGCTTAAGAAGGTCAAATCAAATCCACAGGATTCAAAATCGGACCTTGAGGCTATCCCACTGAATTTAAAAACCAACTCAGGAAGAGGTTTGAGGCCTTGAACATTAATGAATGAAAATCAGATGAGCTATGAAAGGATATTAAAAGTATAATCCACGAAGAATGGAAAAGGTCATTAAAAAAATAGATGAAGACCAAAATGGATCTCAGAGGATTCTGAAATTGCAGTACAGTACTGAGAAGTCAAAGCAAAGAAATCAAGATGTTAAAGAACAAAACAGAAAACTTCAAAGAACAGCATGGGAAGACAAAGCAAAGTATTATAATGAAATGTACAAAGAACTAGCATCCAAAAATCAAAAGGCCTGTACTCACTTGGCATTTTTTAAGCTAAAGGAACTAAAGAACAAATTCAAGCCTCAAGTCGCAATACTTAAGGATGCTGTGGGCAGAGCATTGAATGATACAGGAAGCATTAAAAGAAGCTGGAAGGAGTATACAGAGTCACTGTACCAAAAAGAATTGGCAGACATGGAAGAATATCAAGAAACAACAAATGATCACGAGACAATGGTGATGAAGGAGGAAGTGCAGGCTGCTCTGAAGGACTTGGCAAAAAATAAAACCCCAGGAATTGATGGAATCTCAACTGACATATTTAAACAAACAGATGCTGCCCAGGTTGTGCTCACCAGGTTATGCCAAGAAATCTGGAGGACAACTACCTGGCCAACTGTATTCCCATTCCAAAAAAAGGTGACCCAACAGAGTGTGGAAATGATTGTGCAGTATCACTCATGTGGCCAGGAGGGACCAGTCCTTGGAGAAGGACATCATGCTGAGAAAGGTGAAGGGACCGTATAGGAGAGGAAGACCCCGGATGAGATGGACTGTTAGAGTAACTGGGGCAAGGAGGTTGGTGTGTCGGAGTCAGTGAGTCTGGGTCAGGTCAGGGCAGGCTTCAGAGCTGCTGTACATAGAGTCATGGCGACTTGACTGTACATAATAACAAGAAGTAGACACATGGGAAACCAGGATAGAGATGGCTGACACAGAGCCAACGGCACAGGCCAAACACGGCGACAACAGTGAAGGTGTTGCAGAACCGGGCAGGAGTCCCATCTGCTGTCCGTGGACCAGCCAAGAGCACATTCAGCAACAGCAAAGTACAAGCTGTTAACATCTGGGAAGCGGAGCGGGGCTTCCACCGAGCTCTCGGGCCCGCCTCTGCAAACTGCAACTATCGTCACACTTAACATCACTTTTAAAGAAGGGGTAACAGGAGGGAAGAAAACGAATAAATAGATATTTATGGAGATGGCTGAAGGGGGAGGCACTGGCAATAAGGGGCTGCTTGTTAAAAACAAAATTTGCAGGAATGATGGGATGGAAAACGGATTCGCTTTTGCAAAGTTTCACTCAAATCATAACGAAAATCAAAAGACATTTCAACAGCATATCAGTATCCAGGGGTAGGGGCTCGGTGGTGCTGTAACTGAATGGTTGACCGTTCAACTCCCCCACCCCCACTCCCCCGTCAATCTTTGGGAGATGTAGAGACTGAATGAAAAGAAGCCCTGTGGGCCACCTCCCTGCGTCCTACACTGAGCCAGAACTGGCTTGACGGCATCAAGGGGGTTTGGGGTTTAGATGTTGGGGCTCTCCTGGGGTCAGTCAGATAGGAAGTGGAAGGATCATCATGTCCTTTCTTCCTTCATAAGACGTTCTTATTCCCTTGCAATGCAGACCACCTGCCCTTGTGGGTCCTTTGGAAGCTTGGAGTGGGTTTTCTGGGGTCAGTTCTGCTCAAGCCACAGCCAAGCACAGGCATATACCTGAGGCTCTGTCCTCCTTTGGAAAATGGTGCTGTGCAGGCAGCCTGGAGAAGCAGGTGTGTTCTGGAAATTGTGACATGTCCCTGACACCCTGTCATAGGCTCATGCGATCTCCTGAAAGTCAGCCCACCGGGGAGCCCTGGCCGCCCCCTTCCCATCACATTGGGGTTCATGCCGTGCGATCTGCATGGTGGCCACTCACAGTACAGTCCTCCTGCTCTAAGTCTGACCACCTGGGTCCTTTCTCACGCTCTCCCCAGCCCTGCGGTGTTCCGCTCTGGGGTCGGGCTGGCTCTGCAGGAACTCACAGGGGCCCGGCCTCCCTGGCAGGGGGCAGGCTGCCGGGCAGTCCCACATCCAGGTCTGGGGCTGAGAGTGTGGACTGGACGGCCTGGGAGCCCGGGTCAAGCCTGGGAAGTTGTGGTTAGGGGCCATGGAGTCAACTCTGACTCACAACGACCCTGTGAACAACATTCAAACTTGTCCTGTCCTGTGACATCCTCACAATCTCCCTCATGCTGAGACCCATGTCAGCGAAGGCTGCTTGGAGGTGGTGTTTCTAAGATAAGGATAAAGGTCTATGGCCAAGGGGTGAGCACCCAGTTGCCAGCTGCCCACAGGAACCAGGGCACGTGACTTCACTCCCTCACTTCCACATCTGCAAAACTGACAGCTGGGAAAGGTCACTGAGTTACAATCTGGAAGGTGCAGAACAGCACCTGGGACTCAGAAGTGGGGCAGGTGACAGGGAAAAGGGGAGGGCAGGAAGGATGTGGAGGAAAGACAGGACACGCACGGGAAGGACAGAGACACTGAAGGGGAGGGCAGGACACTGAAGGGGAGGGCAGGACACTGAAGGGG